TCTCTCTCTCTCTCTCTCTCTCTCTCTCTCTCTCTGCGTCACTTCAATGGTCAACCCAGCTCCTTTCATATTTATCACAAATCAGAAACTTCTGGTATGGGACGCGCCAAATCCTCATAAATCAAAGTCAATGATTCTCTGTCGAGGCGTTCCCCAGTCGTCTATTAACTCAGCTCGATAACTATGCCGCGCATATACAAAAGTCAATGGCCGCGAAACGACTTATCATCATAATACTCTCGTCAGAAAAATTCCACAGATGTCTGCTTTCTCCCCGTGTGCGCGTTCAAGATTGGCTTGGCACGTTGCGGTACTGCTGTTTGGTTGTGGCCAGTTACTTATATGATACTAGAGCCACAGATTTAGGAAAAGTACAAGTGGGGCATTGGGGTTTCCAGGGTGAGTTTTTCAAAAGGTGATAGATAAGGAAGATCCAGTTCCTGAGCTGCCAAGGTAACATCGCTTGATGTATTCCAAACAATTTTTAATGTAGGTTTTTTACGCACTTATCACCTGAATAGACATTAATAAAAGTCTTGAAAATCTAGCTCTCACTTGCAAATTTGGAGTCAAACGAGGCAGGGGTAGGCCTATAGCAGCCTACTAGGGGAACTTAAACAAATGGGTAACGAGGAATGATCAGGGATACGTAGCTTTTTTAAGAGCATCCGAGCAAAGGAATGAATGGAGCACCATGATCGCTGATGTCTGTCGCAGATCTGGCACTGGATGAGATCACCACAATTTAGATCATTTAGGAGTTGGATTTCGACCCTGAATGTTAGGACCAAACTCGGCGGAGACGGATCTAACATCCTAACGGAAAGACCGAGATACTCGATGAAAATTCTTCCAACTCGGGAATCGAACTCTGATCCCCTGTGCTCGACGGCAAAACCCCTAATCGCTACAACTACAACACAGAATCCAGTATTTTACGATGCAATATGCTGGGAGCATCAAGAGCAACCGACACCATTGCTGCAAGGCAAGACAGATGGAGGTGGAGGTCCATGATCGCCAACGCCAGTCGACAAAGCACCGGATGATGATGATAGTATGACGTGGTGCGAGAAGGTGCGATACTGTACGGTTTGATTAAATCTGGTGCGGCATTGTAAGGATCATCTTGGAATGAATAGAAGCATTTTTACAAACACGAAAGGTGCAGCATGAAAGATAGGCATTTTCGGGTCCCATGTTTATTGTCCTTTTTCCTGTAATAGAAATATATTTGTCCATTTTCCCATCTCTGCGGTAGTCCCTTATTCTGTGTGTCTGGTTTTCAAGTTCAGTTCACGGTGATTTGGCTGGAGGTAAACGCCCTCTCATCTATCTTGATACAGAGGGCACGAATGACAAAGTTACCAAAGTAAAGGGTCATAAGGGTATGAATGGTTGGTAGGCGCTC